CAGCCCTCCTAGAAGAAGGTATGTGGAGGACATGATCCAGCCAGGAGGTTATTTCTAAATACCAACTGACGGACTACAGTATTGTTGACATGGTGTTCTCATGTATACGAGCGACGCCCCATAACTACCGATGATCGAAGACAATCAGGCTTCGTAAGTCTTCGGCCCTAAGCGGCCATGTCTGGTTTGTACAGTGACATCGACATCCTCGGAACGTTATACAACCTGGATTTTTCTAAGGTAGCTCCATATGTAGTCGAGCGTCTGAGGAGGTACATTAGCTTTGCTGATACGCCAAGTAACTACCCTGATGATGTGACCACCAGGAGTGACATAACCATCAAAGTAGGTAAGCCCTTCGGTCTCTCCTAGTTGCTATTCCGTGGTAGCATGAACCAGTGGTGTCGTCGCATCCCGTTACCAATACTCCACCTTCCGGGTACAAACTATATGCCGAAACGTGCCTCGTTAAATGTCAGCCTATCCAATAGTGCTTGTATAGCCACTGAGTCCGATCTAAGGACAGCTATATCATCCACATACGATTAATCATCAACAGCAGTGTATCAGCCATCTGAACTAGTGCTTCGCTGCAGCACGACCACGATGACCTAGGGAACGAAGAGCAATAAGAGGGAAAGTAGGGCGACCTGGCGTAAAACATTCAGCGTCAAGGCGCCTACATCTTGTCAACAACATACAATATCATGATATGATGTGATATGATATGATCACATCATATCATATCATGCATAGATAAGGCGGTACCGGCGATACAGCCTCCTTGCGGCTTTTACTGCCTCGCATCGCAATCAGCCATTACCTCTCAGGTAATTCAGCACCACACACTTTATACAGGCTGTTTGACTTATAGACGATAACAGGCATGCCACTGGTGCCGACCGTCAGCCATGTCCTGTAACGTCTGAAGCCAGGCACAAGGTGGGCCACTTGGACTCGAGCCTGCAAACCGAGTTCGGTCGTCATTGAATTCATTTCCCTCTGTCAAGTTACTTTTTGCCCACGGTCCTTACGCCACCCTACATCCGGTAAACAAAACCGCCCTACTTGGTAAGCGGTGACCAGGCATACATAGTACCTGCGTAAGCCAACGCAACTTATTCAGTGCTATCTGTGGTTCTGACGAACTGGCATGATTATCACTGTCTACCACATCATCCTTGGTGTCATCCGATACTAGCGATGATCAAAGACTTCAAGGCGCCGCAAACCGTCACACCACATTAACGTGCGGTCTCGTTCACCTGGCAGAGCCTGCAAGAACTGGGTCATCTATGACCATCTTGTTCACAAATTTAAAGAGGAACAGATAACCCTGACGAGTCCCACTTGTGAGGAGACGGCTTTCCTTGGACCCTACCCGATCTCAATGGTCACACTATAGTGGCTTCGAGATGAAAATGTCTTTTCCGGATTAACAGTGCCACAAGCTGGCGCGATCAATAGTGTCGAGTGTGGCTTTCAACACAAAGAAAACTGTAATGGTAGCTAGTCTTTATTTTCGCGTGGCTACTCTGCTGTTTGACGAACCGTAAATAAGTGGTCAGTGCGGCTTCGACTACGAAGATACTAACTTTTACGATTCTTCACACTACATACGCACTGTGGACATTTACTTTCTCTGCGTCGCTGTCTCACCTGTTTAGTCTGGAGCGACGGTAATAGTTCGGTGCACGCAATCTGATTGAGTCCAACAGTTGCCGGGACACAACAAGCGAGATCTATTCAGAGATAGAGAGGTGGTCGCACACTGGTTAGGTAGTTCTTTTTCACTCCGTTTGAACTACTTTAAATCAACTGAGCGCATGAGTTCAGTGCAATTATCAGCTTGCTATAGGTGCTGACAGATCTCCGGGAAGCACAAGCTGTACGCCTCCTTCCCATATCTGTAACTGGAACATTCCGATTGACAACTTTACGATGGACTTTTGACTTGGTTTTCAGGGAACACTGGCGACCAAGTGACGCCGAGCGCTGAGTTGTGCGGTAATCTTATACAATTTCCCGTCATGTCTGTCCCGAATCACCAATTTTATGTTGGACTTAGTTTGCTATTCGGATTGTATTTTCACGCGAACAGCATTCCAGCTTGTCACCTGCTTAAGGTTATGCTGACAACTTATTTAGATCTATCAGGCAACATCTATGCTTATGCATTTCGTACGGTTAAGTATATGGCACACTATAAGGTCACATAGCTTCGCCTTCACGGTTATTTGTTAAGATTCTATTCGAAAAGCTTTGGCAGTGCTCGTGAGTACACCTTTCGTCCGCATTTTAACAGGCTGTAGTCAAATGACATCTAACGATCGGTTTTTCGTAAATCGCGAAAGTTGTGCTTAACCTAATTGTTGTGTGTTTAAATGATCGTGCTTGGTTTCGTTGAATCGGCTCTGAGTTCAAGCTTGCAAAACAGCACGATCCTTAGCGCTTGTTCCGTATTTCCTAGACTGCAGTCTGGCAACGTTTGAGAAAAGCAACATTTTTATCTGGTTAAACTGACTTGTGATTTTTCCCATGGAATATCGTTGCCACACTGATGTGGTTACACTTGGTAACGCGTCTCACAAGACTGCCATTGGATGACAGGGTTAATGTTACAAGCATGTTGTGGCTTTGGGGATTCCCTGCTGAAACTAGATTGCGTTGGATCGGAGTTATTATGCGAAAATATTAGTATTACGTTACGGCTCCATTGTCCCAATCAAATAGTTTCCGGTTACATTTGGTAGTGACGCGTAAACGCCAGCACGTTCGGCGAAACATCATATGTAATCGGACGGAAAATGAATGTTGCCCGCTGGAACACAATGGCACACCACGACACTTTTCTACCCTATTTGATATCCTCAGGAAATTTCACGCCTCAATCCACTCACACGACGTGTACTTCAAGGAGTCAATAACCATTGTGTCAAGCGTTTCTCGTTGTGACCCGGTAACTAAATGGGTGGAAGTCGCAACTAACATACCAATGCTCCCCGACTCGAAGTCTACTGTCCCCACCTGATGAGATCAGCTAAGGTGGAAACGCGTCATGGTATGCCATTGTTTTCGGGTGAACAACACCCAATTTCCACCTGCTTCAACAACGGTGCTAATAATCGAATTGACCAGGGTTTACTTAACTACGATTCACGGTCCACATTGCGATTGCGCCTCAGTCCAATCACATAACGCATACTTCAAAATGTCCTAATCAATTGTCAGCAATCTTCAAACTTGGGCGAATTTTGCTACCGCCGTCGCAACAAGCTATCACTTTTCTGTGTGTTCTATTATTAACTTACGGGCGTTCTCTTTCCTTAACAACACGTACATGTCTGCGTTACAGAAACGAAATTACCACTGGGAGCTTATAAGCACTCTCTATCTACCTATAGTAGTATGGCATCGCATGGTGTGATGGGCAAGCCAGGAGCACGAAACTTGCGTGAAGGACGCTAACACTTACCGTACATGCTGCACACTGATCGTTAGAATTTTACTCTGCACTGGATTATCTTATTAAAATCGTCTACTTTTTGAGAATCAGGACTGCACATTCCATCATGTGTGTCTAGAACCCGTGCTTGTCAACTGTCGGTGATAATTCGGTAGCTTGTACTAGGTGATTACTGAAAGTACATTTAACCATCACAGGAGCTCAGCTCTTTTAAAGGTTATGGGTATTTTGTTCGGTTGGGTCTCGCTGTTTAGTGCAGGATCAGTTCGGAAGATTCGAATATATAGCTATCGGTTTTGATTTATCCTATAAGTAATCGTATATAGTCGCTCATGATTAGGCATCAAGACGCTGTGAGACAGAATGTGTTATTTTGTAGTCTAGCATTTTGCTTTTCGTTTACTGCACTATTATTTCAATATGCAGTATTGTGTCCTCCAATTTCGAAGTTTGTAGGGTCCACCATCTTATCTCCAAATATCATCGGAACACCAATGAGCGGATATTTTGGTCTTAAACCTCGGCATGTTTGACAAATTTACGTTTACCACAGTTGCGCCTGACCATTTTGATTATTCGGCATGTCACCTATACTGCTTGAAATTTGTCTGCAATTGCTCTTTCAAGTAGCATCTTGCAAAATTCCGTACAATCTGTTCTGTCCTCGATGGAGATCTCGAGAAATACACCTTATTTTTCATTATGGGTGCTAATGCTTTTCCCACTTTTGACGCAGGGTGATAAGTGCCAGTCACGAGTACGAACCATACTTCTCATCATGAATACGCATGTCTGCGGATCCCTATTTCACCAATGTTATGCTCCATTTAACACGGTTCTAATCGGCATAAGATGAAAGTCCCGACGATGCTCGATGTTAGTATCATAACTCGAAAAATCTTCGCGATGTATCTCAAGTTCCCTGGCAACGGCTTTGTTCTATGTTAAAGCGCAAATTTACTGTCCAAGAGTTTGTACTGCGTTAGCTGAAATGCGAAAGAACTGGCTTTCACGTAATATTTAGGTACTGAAAAATGGAAACCCTGTTCGGAAAGCCCCTGGGTCAAACTTAACTGTTGCATATGTTGTGTGACGTGTACAGTATGTCAGAGTTATTGTCCGGTGTTTCTACTCGAGCGCAATTGAGGTCAAACGGTATATATGGACTTCATTATTGTAGCATTTCTGGCGCATGCGCTAGCGATCCTTCTTGATACATGGCTACTTGAATATCTTCTGGTTGCATGCGCCCCGAGGACCAAGAAGATTCTCAAGGGCGTTCTCTTCCCAACCATCGTGTTGTTTCATATGGATGTACTAAAGAGTACAGTTGGTAGGGATAGCTCTCTCTCGACATCAGTGGCATTACATCGGCCGTTTGAACTGATGCTTCGCTGCCGTACAATCACGAAGAATAATAAGATAGGAGAGAGATCTAACGTTAGACCTTTAAAGCGCGAAGCGGGATCGGTACGCTTTAAAACCAATACGCGAAAATAAGGCCAACCTCCGATGAGTGGAGAACACCAAACGTAACGCTAGGAAAAATTTATTAAGTGGGCGAAAGGCTATCTAGTGCTAAAAATAAGGCACCGAAAGATAGCTAGCTAGGGAAGGGTGTGGTCGCGTGCGCGGAGAACAAAGATGGCCGCGGAGCCGAGGAGCGTCGCGCCGTTCGAAGGCGGATGCGATGTTGACTCAAACAAACGCGAGCAACGTTCAAACAGGCGAGCGGCTATTTTGCTATGTACATCGAGAAAATATAATTTTGTGATTTTGTAATATTTTACGCAGCATGCGGCAGCCAAACAGGGGAATCTCTAGGTCACTACACAGCCCCCCTCTTAGAAGGGAACCGTAGGTGACCCTTCGATCTACGTGAGGACTGTCCGTCGCCGGCCAGCCTTCTGCGAGACCAGGCGGTGAAACCTGATGCAGCTGCTGGGGGAGAACCAATGCGATCGGACGCTAGGGGGGCTCCCACCCGTGTCCTCCCTACAGGTGCCAAAAACACAAAATGGGGGAAATGTTCGTAGCGTTCGAGTGCGTAGTGTCAAAGCACACGATGTTTGAGCACGTAGTGTCCGAAAACGTAACGTTCGATTGTCGTTGAACGTCCGCGTGTCGGGGATATGAAAAAGAAGCGGAAACGCGGAGTGTCAAACAGGTGCGAGCGACAGAGCTAACAAAAGGCGATAGCACTTACCGAGTGCGATAAGCGAATAAAGCGAGAACCATTTTGTGTTTTCAAAACGATTTTCTCCTTTTTTGGGTTTTCAAAACGTCTTTGCGGTTTTTGGGGTTTTCAAAACGCTTTGCAAATATTTTTGGGTTTTCAAAACGTTTTTGTTGGGCGGGTTAGGCCACAAGCAAAAAGGAAGCGGGAAAAGAAGAATGAAAAGAAGACTAATCTTTTAATCGCGCTGGCCAATGAACCCGCCTACCTGACCTAGTCGATTTCGGACGTTCGGTCGGAGGCGTTGTCGATCCAGCAGTTTTGTCGGATGAGGACGCTTTCGGCTCGATAGAAGCGTAAGGAACTGAGTCAGAAAGGTTAGTCGGAGAATGCTTCGTAGCATCGGAAGTAGGCGTGTCGTCGATCATTTGCTGCGTTGACTCGTCCGAAGGTGGACAGGAGTCATCGTCGATCTCAGGTTCCACATGGGCAACCTTGAGACGGTCGATAGAGACGGTTTCACGTTTACCGTGGCGGTCGATAACGAATACGCGGTCCTTACGTTTAAGAACCTTAAATGGACCTTCGTAGGGTCGTTCGAGTGGTCTGCGTAGACCATCGACTCGAAGGAAAACGTAAGCGCAATGCAGTAGATCTTGTGGAACGAACGATTTACGTCGTTGTTCTCGCACGTCGGTTGCTTTGATATGGCGCATGCTCGTGGCTAACTGCCGAGCGTAATTCGCGTCGTAGCGAGGTGTTCTAGGGTTTTCAGAAAAGAAGTCCCCAGGTAGTCGAAGAGGTTGTCCATATACCAGTTCGGCGCTGGACGTGTGCAAATCAGCTTTAAGAGCTGATCGGATACCAAGTAGTATCATGGGCAGTGCTTCGGTCCAGCTTAGTGCATTAGCGGCACTAAGTGAGGCCTTCAGCTGTCGGTGGAAACGTTCTACCATGCCGTTAGATTGCGGGTGATAGGCGGTAGTCCGGATGCGTTGACATCCGAGGACTTTGAGAAGATCGTTGAATGTCGAGGATTCGAACTGCGGACCGCGGTCGGTAGTCACTGTGGCTGGACAGCCATGTGAAGCGACCCAGCGCTCCACAAAAGCGCGCGTTACGGTGTCCGCGGATACGTCGGGTATAGGTACTGCCTCGGGCCAACGGGTGTATCGGTCGATCATGGTCAAAATGTAGACCATTCCTCTGGATGGTGCCAAGGGTCCAACTATGTCGAGATGGACATGGGCGAAGCGAGCTGAGACTTGCGGAAAACGACCAAGCGGAGCGGACACGTGCCGCTGTATCTTGGCCTGTTGACACGTTAGACAACCGCGTGCCCAGCGCTTAAGATCGCGTTGCATTCCGGGCCAAACGTATCTCTCGGATATGAGCTTGATCGTGGCTCGGATGCCTGGATGAGCGATGTTATGAAGTGTGTCGAAAACTAGACGTCGAAAGGTTTCTGGAACGACGGGTCGAGGTCGTCCAGTAGAAGTATCGCACAAGATTGTGCCATCAGACGACGGTAGTGGATGCGGTGTGATTTGTAGCGAAGAATCTTGTTTCACGTTCTGACAGTCAGTGTCGTTTAGTTGCGCGGTAGCCATGGCAGATAAGTCGATTGCCTGGCCAGCGGTGTGGATTGCGGAGACGCGCGAAAGAGCGTCAGCAACGACGTTATTCTGACCTGAAATGTGTCGGAGGTCAGTAGAAAATTGAGCCACGAAATCCAGCTGACGAACCTCACGTGGTGAGTGTCGAGCTGATTGATTTCGAAAGGCGTAAATAAGCGGCTTATGATCGGTGAAGATAACGAACGAATTACCTTCTAAGACGTGCCTAAAATGTCGCACGGTAGAATAAACTGCCATCAGTTCGCGGCTGAACGTGCTGTACTTGGCTTCTGCCGGTTGTAAGCGTCGGGAGTAGAAAGCGAGTGGTTTCCAGCATCCCTCAGTGAATTGCTGCAGGACGGCGCCAATGGCGGTGTCCGATGCATCGACTGCAACGCTGAGTGGAGCCTTCGGCTCGAAATGGTGAAGCATAACGGCTTCGGCCAAGGCCTCTTTGCAGGCTTTGAAGGCTTCGGTTGCAGCGGGCGTCAATTCGACATTGCCGTTCTTGCGTCCACGAAGTAAGTCGGTCAATGGACTGAGCAAGTCGGCACAACGTGGCAGAAATCGACGGTAGTAGTTACTCATCCCACTAAAACGGCGGATGGCGGCCAAAGTAGTCGGAACGGGAAAGTCCTTAATAGCGATGACTCGGTCTTCGAGCGGCCGTATGCCATGCTGGTCAATTCGATGACCAAGAAATTCGATAGATGGTTGCTGAAAGATGCATTTGTCAGCGTTGACCGTAATGCTATTAGAAGCTAACCTCTGGAAAAGCATCTTGAGGTGCTTCGCGTGCTGTTCTTCGGAAGAACTAGCTACTAAGATGTCGTCTATATAAGGATAAACAAAGTCGAGACCTCTGGTGACAGAGTCTATGAAGCGTTGAAAAGTTTGAGCTGCGTTACGAAGACCGAAGGGCATTCGCAAGAATTCGAAAAGTCCGAAAGGCGTGATGACTGCGGTTTTCGGAATGTCATCCTCGGCTACAGGGATCTGGTGGTAAGCGCGAACCAGATCGATCTTCGAGAACACACGGGCGCCACGTAGGCTAGCCGTGATGTCCTGAATGTGCGGAATGGGATAGCGGTCGGGGACGGTAGCGTTATTAAGAGCGCGATAGTCGCCACATGGACGCCAGTCTCCTGACTTTTTAGGCACCATGTGTAGAGGCGACGCCCACGGGCTCTTAGACGGGCGAATAATGCCTAAGTCTAACATGTGCTCGAATTCGGAGCGTGCAATTTTGAGCTTGTCGGGGGTCATGCGCCTGGCTTTTGCGAACACAGGCGGACCTTTCGTAACGATGTGATGTGTCGCGGCGTCGGTTGCGGAAGGCAACGGGACGGCAGGACGGAAGACCTGCGGAAAACTATCGAGCAGCGTTTGCCCGACGGGTGAAGTAAGTTGAGTCGCGTACACGGGACTGATTGACGCGGTGTCGGTCAAAGTCCCAATGACTGCGAGATTCGTAAGACGGTCGACTAGACGGTGTCGCTTAACGTCGACGAGTAGGTCGTAATGACGTAAGAAGTCGAGACCAAGGATAGGCGTTTGAACATCGGCAACGAGGAATATCCATTTGAAAGCGCGTCGGAGGCTGAGATTTAGCGTGCGCGAGCGTTGACCATATACGCGGATAATGGTTCCGTTAGCTGCGCGCAATGAACTAGTCACCTTTTCGGTCGGGTCATTTGGATCACGCGGGAGAACGCTGACTTCTGCGCCAGTATCGACGAGATAGCGAACTCCGGTTCTACGATCGGTGACGAAGAAAAGGCGACTGCGTTGACCAGCTACGTCCGTCGCCCCTACGTGCTGGTCTGCCCGTTTCCCTGCTGCTGTCGTTTGAAGGAACAGGGCGGGCGACATGATTTAGCTTGCTGGCCGAAGCGTTCGTGGTACCAGCAGTAACCGTTTCTATTCGGTGATCGCGAAGGAGACTTCGAACGTGAACGCGAACGGCTCCTAGAGCATTTACAGCGGTTATGTCTGGAGGCCGAAAAGTCTGCGAATTGTCGAGTCAACGTTGCCATCTGGGATTTAAGCGTAGCGATATCGTTGTCCGGTTTCGTGTGGACCTGCGAAACCTGGCCGTACGACTCCCAAATTCGGTCGGCTGTATCGGCCAGTTTGGATAAAGGTGCATCCTCACTAGCGCAGAGGATGTGTAGCATCTCGCGCGGAAGTCGTTGCAACCACATTTCCCGAAGAAAAGAATCATCTATCGAAGTGGGTTTAGCTAGGCTCTGCATTTTTCGAAGCAGCTGAGACGGCTTAAGATCGCCAAGATCGGTTTCGTTGAGGAGTTTCGTAACTCGTTGTCGATCGGATAAGCCTGTTCTTCTCAGCACAGCTGTCTTGACTGCATCGTAAGTCTTTTGGTCGTCAGGAAGATCTAGAATGTCATCAATGTCATCGATGACATTTAGCGGAAGCGCGGAAACGACAAGGTGGAACTTGGTCTTTTCGGACCTAATACCACGCAAAGAAAATTGCGATTCTAGCTGACCAAACCAAGACTTAGGATTAGTCTCGCGAAAAGGTGCGATAGGAAGCGTAACTGTGCCGATCTGAACGTCATAATCTACACGATCAGTTTCCATAGCGAGCAAAATAGCGAGCCAGCAAGATTAAATCGGAAAATGAAAAGTGAAAATCAGACGGGTTAGCGAAAAAATGTGGCCAAATCTGAAAAGAAAGGTTAGCGAAAACTCACCGGATAATGACCAAAATTCGGGGTCACCAATAAAGCGCGAAGCGGGATCGGTACGCTTTAAAACCAATACGCGAAAATAAGGCCAACCTCCGATGAGTGGAGAACACCAAACGTAACGCTAGGAAAAATTTATTAAGTGGGCGAAAGGCTATCTAGTGCTAAAAATAAGGCACCGAAAGATAGCTAGCTAGGGAAGGTGTGGTCGCGTGCGCGGAGAGCAAAGATGGCCGCGGAGCCGAGGAGCGTCGCGCCGTTCGAAGGCGGATGCTATGTTGACTCAAACAAACGCGAGCAACGTTCAAACAGGCGAGCGGCTATTTTGCTATGTACATCGAGAAAATATAATTTTGTGATTTTGTAATATTTTACGCAGCATGCGGCAGCCAAACAGGGGAATCTCCAGGTCACTACACCTTAAACAACCATACGTTATAAACGCGGCTACATCTTGTCAACAACGTACCATCACAAACAGCTGGCTATCGTGCAAAGGCGGCAGCGGCGCGACCATTCGCAGTTTTTACTGCCCCCCGTCATAATCAACCATTACTCCGCATATAACTCAGCGCACTCAGGCAGTCTGACTAGGAGACGACTGCAGATGCGCTACTGATGCTGACTGCGAGATGTGTTTTGTGATATCTAGATCTCTCCACCATGTGTTTGTACTTTGAGGACTAACGCATTCGCCTCACTAAAGTCGAACCAGTAACCGTACACCTGACTGACACGGGAAACCTATTAGTTGCACGTCGCACAGGACAAAACTCACTCGGTAGAGTGGTGTTTCTCTACGAGATTAGCAGATTCCTGCTTCACGAAGCCTAAATATTTTTCAAGAGAATACTATTGGGACCTTCTACTTGACGATCAGGCTGTGGCTTGTAGGCAGTCGTGTAGCTAGTTACCACTTCTTTATCCCACAGGACTTGGACTGTTCCAGGTAGCATGAATGAGCCACAGATATCTGTTATCAGGTGTACCGAAAACAGTGGGCAATTGATAATAGTAATAGAGCGTGCAAGTGAGGGGGATCTGGCATTTTCATAGACAGCGGCCAAAAAGTATTGGTATCAAGTCTTCATGGGCGGTAGTATTCGTTTGCGAATTCGTTCGAATGGATATGTGGCACCAATGGATCCGCCATTGATATGTCTCTACCATCGGGGTTTCGGTTCTGTTCATTCATTGCATGTTCATTTCATGCACTCAGCTTATTTCACTGAGTAAGGTGGTGGGTTTTCAGGACATACATAGCAAAACACCCGGAGTAACAAAACTCGTTTTGTTTATCTTTCGGCTCGGTTTGTTATACGCGCGTCGACCGCTTGATTATCTGATTTATGTGTACGTCATAACGTAGTGATCGGTGAACATTAGCATAGCCGTTTTTAATTTGCTAGTTTGCCTACCGCTTCACGCATTAAGGCCACAGATGGTTGGTATGGGCTGAATAATGGCGCCACTCTCGCGAAGCTTCTGTGCTTGCATGCGCGTCCTTTTCAATAGCTGGGTTATTTTCCCTAACAGTACAATACGAGTTGCGGCACAATAGCCCGTTGTTAGCTCTCTGGAACCATGTCCATCCGTTACTGGTGACCGCCGGCTTGCCTGTTCCACTTTTCTTCTTTTTTTTATTACGGCACCATAGCTGTGGTGTTTTCCGCATGAGGCTATCATGTATACTGATGATGGTGATAATAATTTCCGTCGGCGGAGGTCGTTTATGGCACACGCCCAGAAGCTGAGTGGTTGATGATTTTGAGTCAATGAGACATCTGTAATTCAGTCATTTCGCAATCATAACATTTTCTAAAGCCATTTTCGCTCCTCGAGTGGTAGAGGAGAAAGGCCTGATTCCTTGCGACCGTAGCCGATTCCCCTATTTGACGAGTGAGTAGGCCAACTACTCGTTCTTCAAACTTCAGGTCCGTGGAACACGAAAAAGAGGTTTCATCGTTTCTGAACCAGGGACTCTCTTCAGGGCGAGTTATTTTTCTCTGTAATGGCAACGATCTTTATAGTATACGACTTCATGCCGCACTTTTTAGCAGTTTTCGACGACATTGGTTTCGATAGTAGTCGTCCCTAGTTTCACCTCATGCGTTTACTTTGTCAATATAAGCAATGTCCTGGTATTTTTTGCTGCTGCACTGGCGCGTCGAATCAACTTAGTGTACCTAATGGAGCGACGCAGAGCCCCAAAGCGGAATTCTATACGCTGAAAAGTTGATTATGATACGACATATCGAAGTGGGCTGATCTTGATTCTGTGGTTTGGACCACCGAATCAGTGGCTTTTGGCAGGATTCGACTAGGAAACTATTTTTTCATTGTGAACCAGATGTTTACCCTGGAAGCGGCGGTGCAAACTCTCGAACTATTCACCTGAGAGTTCTTCCTGGAAACCGACACAATATTTTAATTGTCTAGTAACTCCAAATTCGTCCTTCATTCAGGGGCTATCTTAGCCAGCGTGTTTCTCCTCTCAAAGTCACCGTGCGCCGTCACCTGCAAACTTGTTTTGCCATCTCCTCGCTGTTCCCGCGGTATGGGTTCGGAACATATCTTCCGTTTCTGGTATTGAGGGTACTTGTGTCGCCGGTGTTATTTTCCGCACAATTGCTTCACTACATCCCAGTGTACGGATGTGTGTCCTTTTCGATTGCTAACCCCTGGAGTTTCGTCCTAGAACTCGTCCCCTTACATATTTTTACTGTCACTTACTCTGAAGCCGTACAGTAATTCTGATAGTGGTCGAATCATTTCATCCAGCCAACGGTGACCGGTACGGAACTGTGAACAATGGATGCATTTCCATCACTCGCGTCGGCATACAGATAAAAATGCTTCGCAACGATTGCGTGACACTTCTTCAGGAAAGAACTCGAAGGTTTTCTATCGTAGGATTAACATAGAGCTCTTTTGAGGGCGCCCTGGACAGCATTCTCATCATCATTATACACGTTAGGTAGAGGTGCAAAACATCTCAGCTACAGTATTGGCTAAATTATTAGAAATTTTTTTCAATCAGCAAGTTTTTTCATATTTCATCACATCGTAAGAATCAAATGATGTAACTGTAAAATGATTATATTTACCAAGAATAACATATATCGAATAAAAAATTATCAAGGTTAGTTTCTTGTAAATGATCCTTTGGCAGTTTTCAAGGACTTAACACTCAAAGGCATAGAGTGAATGAGTTTTTTGCAAGGTTCAGTCATGCTTTCACTGCGAGCCCAGGTCGCTACAATTTGTTCAATGAGCAGTTGCTTGTTTGTAATAATTTTTTCTTCATCTCTGACTTTAGAATTGCCCATAAATTCTCTATTGGGTTCATGTCAGGGCTATTACCAGGCCATGGTAACACTTCTATACCACAACCCTCAAGAAAACGGGTGACTTCACGCCCCTTGTGACATGGAGCACTGTCATGCATGAAAATGAAGTCTCCTGTCCCTGTAAATCCTTTTTCCTTTGTCCATTCACACAGCTGAGAGATCAGTTGGTGCTCCAGTTGTTCTTTGTACTGCTGCTGGTTCATGTTACCCTGGACGATGGAGAGCCGACCAGTTCCGTACATGCACATAGAGCCCCATATCATGACCTGAATGGGATGTTTGACTTGTTGAATCATGCATTCTTACCTCATCCGCTCGCCAGGTAATCGGCGGACATATAAAGATTGCTGGGCAGGGCACCGGATGATGCACTCATCGCTGAAAACCACCTTAAATGAAACAGAAAAACGCAGAAAATACGCAAAAGTAATGTAGACAATTTTTCCGGAAAATCCTTATGAAAATAAAACTTCCGCTTCTTACCCGCTCCCAGTCTTCTTTGGACCATTTCTGAAGCTGTTTGGCCCATTCCTGTCGTTTTTCTTTCATTTGTTTGATCAACTTTTGCTTCTTCAGAGGCCTGAAAGCTCGAAGTTCAGAATCCAAAACGTCCTACAGTTCTCGAACTAACTGCAGCACCATGCTGTTCCAACATCCCTTTTAGCTGTCCGCTAGATACTTTGCAATTCTTTAGGCATTCCCTTAGTAGAAGTGGGTCGTCTCGAGCTGTTTTTTCTTTTCTGCGACCACATTTACTGGAACGTTTAGGGAACAGGGGTAAATGCTTTTGCAATATTTTTCAAAGTCAACATACAGACGCTAAGCTGACAGCAATCTTGGTTGCAATTTCTGCTCTTTTAACATCTTTCAACAAAATTTAAATTTGCGCACGCTTTCCAGGGATTAGCTCACGTAATTTACCCCTTAGTATGCCGATACCATCTAAAGACTGACGATCAATACGGTTGTGTCATTATTTGAAATGACACCTTTGAAAAATAGCAATAAGTAATTAAACATACTTATAAATTGATCCAAAACCAGGCAAATGTAATCCTGAAATGTTGACTGCAGCTGTAAATAACGAAGTATGATAAAAATGTAACCCTCCGTTTACATAACTAGCGTACACGTCACATCAACCAATTTGTCATCGTTTACAAAAAATTTCACATACTATGCCTTTGCGTGTTAACTTGAAAAATGCCAATGTATCATTTACGAAATGCAAATTTTGATGATTTTTTATTCGATGTTATTCTTGGTAAATGTAACCATTTTACAGTTACCTCATTTGATTCTTACGAGATATGTGATGAATTATGAAAAAAGTTGCTGGTTCAAAAAAATTCTAATAATTTGGCCAATACTGTATTGTGCCGCAGCCGTCGGCATCCCGAGTGCTTCAAATCAAAACTATATCCTAGTCAAGATTGCGGTTGCTCGTACTTAAGTGCGAATACCATATATTTCGCGCAGATAGGAATGAAATAATTAAGACGCGTATTTTGGAGACCATGGTAACAAGCGACCACCCAGTTCTCAGGGCCAGTATGGAACTGACTTTGCAGTATCCCCTTCCGCTGGAGCCATGGTAGCAGATGACATCTCGGTGCTCACAGCCAACACAGAACTACAGCTGCCATATTGCCGTCGGCTGGAGTTAGCCGCAAATCAGGTGGATTGGTCACTGATGTGGTTTCAGCCGTTGAAAACGGTTAATCAGTCATGAGAGCGAGTAAAATCCCTAGGCTCCTAGTCTGTACTGCTCAAGTGTTAGGTAGTGGGGACAATTAATTCACAATGGTCCTCTACAAAGAGTATGGAGAACCGAGTAGGTAGTGGTGCGGATTGTGAATCAAATCCTTTCCATCTGTCTCTGTCGATGATCAATAGGCGTATAAGAAGCAGCAGAATATCTGCAACAGTGCGATGATCAAGCTACGGCAGTTGAGGAGCAGCCAGCAAGTGCCGTGCAGTGTACACAAGAATCTTAGCTTACATGAAATGGTGTACGAGGCCTGCGCGTGACCAGTGCGAGACGACTCAGAAGGATTGCCTCACCTCCAGTACTGACTGCGCGTCCGCGTATTCGCGCATTTTGTTTCCGTGTTTATGACTGACAAGTTACAAGTACCATCCCTGTCGAAGTCCAATATATGAATTCTGACCTAGAAGAGGTACATCAGTTACTCGCCAACTGTGACGGTAGCAAATCTACGAGGCCAGACGGATTACACTCACTGATTCGTAGTCAGCCACTATCGCGCATCCCGCGATTGCACACCCAGTAGATCACGTTTCGAAGGTTCATTGCTGAGCGAATTAAGGTACTTACCAATAAAGATGATTTTAAAAGGCACTGACTCGCGAAGCGTGGCTTGTAACAGATTTGCCTGGCTATTTCGCTCAGGGTATTCGAGATGGTTGTGCGATAAATACCACAGTTAACATGCCCCCTGACGCCTGCACGGTTTGTAGTTATGCTAAGCCGTCCATGCATCTACAACCTGCTCGAGACGAGGCATGAATGGTTGCAGGAAATGAACCACGGGAGGTCTGCCAACGGAATCTGCGTCGATTTCAGCAGTGTTGGACAAAGCGAACCATGAAGCCCTCTTACAATGAACGAAAGTGCGCGATATCCGCAGCCCAGTACATCAGTGTGTTTGCAAAGTTCTCGTTGGATGGAAGTGGAGGGTACAAGTGGATTGCACTGACCGACTGAAATATTTTAACTAGTGGCGTACTTAAAGGGACAGTGCTGTGGCTTACTTCGTCCTCATTTAGATGAAGGATCTACATGAGCCTCTCTGGTCGCCGTCTGTAGTTTGTGGACGACCTGGATATATGCAGAATGACTAGCAGGGTCCCAGTTCACTTAGAACCTGGTCGCTTCCGCATGTGCTCTGCAGGAGCCCACCTCCAGGTCAACCCGTTCGTCGGTACTTACGAGGGTGAGAAAGGGTGGTGACGGCCAAGCATAAACTCTTGACGGCAAACCACTTCATAGCACGCCTCTCGAAAGCTACATCCGACAATCGCTGCTCAGTCCATCTCTGGTGGGAACACTGCCTGAGTAATGAGCGCGTTCGGCATCGTCTATTTGGTGCAGGAAGAGCGAATGAACCGCCCAGCACCAGTACATCGTGTACCAGGCTCTGATGGCTGGGCCACATGTTGCGCATGAAGACACATCGACTCCCGTGTTGTTTGCGTGCCGGGGGTATGGATGAAAGAGAAGAGGCCAAGCGATAAATTGGTGAAGAGAAGACCTCATTTCGGAATTGGTCTCGGATGGAGCCTTCCGACTACTGAACTTGGGACCCTAAGGAAAATAAATACGTTTGGTTGGATACACTTGTTGGCATGGCGAAGACCCGACCTCAATGGTGTTTGGGTTGAGTCCTCTAGTCATCCTCTCTCGCTTCGTTTTCTTTTCAAATCACGATCTCAAACGCCGTGCATATGATACTTAGCAGTATATTATTTGTGTGTTGTATTCAGAAAATGTTTAATACCCTGTCATTTTGGTTTGCAGCATATTAGCTGAGGTGTGTTTCTCACCTTCATCTATCGTGTATCGATGATTCACCGAAGGCGCTAAAGGTATCAGCAGCACGCCGGTACGCAGTACGGACGCTTCGCTGTCGCGCAACCATCATCAGTTGCACATCGGATGAGGAGATTGCAAGTGTCGCCCGGTCCCCTACGCAGGTTCGAACCTGCGCTCTCGGATTACAGGGTAAGCTGGTGGTCAGTAAGGCCAATGGACGGGATACTGTGGGTCGAAGTCCACAGATAACACGAACACGCTATACAGAACCGGACAGCGCATGTTCTGGCCACTCAAACATACCCTCTTATCCTTCATCATAAAACCAATGGATCCATTATTGGGTTTGCTTTCTACCAGCTACTGCTACTTCACTGCTATCAATCCCGCACTGAAGATGCCACCTCGAATGGTGGCGAAACATCTGCAACCAAGTTGCCCAGCTCGGAGAACTCCACAACAACTGAACGACTCACAGTGTTAGGGGACTCACGTATCTGAAATATCATTGCCTGTATGTAAGCCTTCTCTGAACCGAATGGTCGCGAAACGTGAGTTTACGAAAATTTTGAACTAACGCACCGACTCTATCTCGGATTTATATTCCACTAAACAATTTAGTCACTGTCTACTCGACACACGGAAGTAGGAAATTCTTCATATCTAGTACTTCAAGCCTGTACCGGAGTCCGCATGTGCTGCATGGTGTGTGTAGGTGTATCAGGGCCCTCAACGTTGAGAAGTTCCCGAAATGTGAACTATGACTGGTCGTAATCCGTTGAATCTAACTCGACATGCTAGTTGAAATTCCCAAGCCTTAATAATTCACTCAAGAAGATCTTGGTAGAATTGATTCTTGGCTAAATCCTGGATACATTCATGGAAATTATGAGCGACGATCTCAGAAAGAGCACTTTTACCTTTCCGATACTTTCCAA